CATCAGGCGTGGATGGAAGGAGGTGCCTGCCTCCTCAGACGGGCGCATCCCCTCTCACGTGGGTTCTGGGGTCTGGGCGCCCCCCTGTCTCCCAGTGGACTTAGGGTCCACCAGGATGTCTCCCCACCACGCAGGGCTTGAGGGCGGGGCTGTGCCTCCCCGGTCAGACGGGATCTCACTGCGCCTGCCCACCCAGGAGCCTCCTTGCGGGTCTGGCCCTGGCTCTGGGCTGGGCCTGGGGTGCTGTCTGCATCGACCGCAGGGAGTCCCAGACCCTGTCGGGGGGGCGAGGCTTTGTCTGCAGAGAGCTCCCCGGTCCTGGGGACAAGCCCCCACTCCGAGGTGAGGCCTCGCCCCCAGGGAAGGGCACAGGAGCTGTCCGCGGTGCTGACCCCGCTCATCCCGGTCTGCACAACCTTGGGCAGCCTCTGCCCGCTGGGCCTGGGTATAGGCCAGCCCGCCAGGGGAAATGGCCCCCGCATGGCTATCCCCACAACCACACAGTGACCGGACCTGCCAGGACCGCTGGAGGGCAGAGGCGCAGGGGCCCCGGGGTGTCTCATTAGCCTTCTTTGGGGTCTCAGAGGGGCTGAGCCGAGGGACCGAGGTCCACGTGGGGTTTTCTGACTCTGGTGAGACCCAAGCACCTCGGGAATCCCTGTCCCCAAACTGAGCTGCCCGCCTCATTCTGGCCGGAGCTCCGTGGCCCCTCACCGTCCACCAGCCCCAGGGATGGAGACCAGGCCTGGAGCAGCCTGGGGCCCTGCAGGGGAGGCGGCCTCACCTACAGCCCCGCCCTCCCTGCTGCCCAGCCGGCCCCCAGTTCCGCTGCACGCCCCCCACCCCCGTGGACCTGATCTTCCTGGTGGATGGGTCCTGGAGCATCGGCCACAGTCACTTCCGGCAGGTGAAAGACTTCCTGGCCAGCATCATCAAGCCCTTCGAGATCGGGCCGGATAAAGTCCAAGTAGGTGGGTGCCGGCCCCCCGCCCTGCGCCCCACCCCGGGGTCCCACAGCTCATCAGCCCCCAGTGCAGGGAGGAGAAGGGGGAACTGGAGGGCGGCTGCAGCAGCCAGGCCTGGTGCCAGTCCCCACCTTGGCCGATGCAGCAGCTGGCTCTGGGAGGCATTCTGGTGACCCCTGAGTGCAGAGAGCAGAGTTTTGCAAACGTGCTCTCCCTGGTGACTCCGGGCAGCGAGGCTGTGAGTGTCCCGCAGCTGCTCCGCGTGCCAACAGCCACGCCCGGCCCCCTCCCCAGGCCTGACCCAGTACAGTGGAGACCCCCAGACCGAGTGGGACCTGAACACCTTCCACACCAAGGAGGAGGTGCTGGCGGCCGTGCACAGTCTCCGCTACAAAGGGGGGAACACGTTCACAGGTGTGCCCCCGTCCTCGGGAGTCTGCCAGGGGCTCGGGCCCGAACAAAACCGCTCGCCCGTCCTGTGGGTCAGCCTCCCTTTACAACCTCCCAGACCCGCGAGCTTGTGTGTGACCAGCCGAGTGCTGGGTGGAGCTGAGCCCCGTCCCCACCTTTGCAAACAGCAAATCACCCTTATTTCTCTGTCAAGACTGTGATTTCTGTCTGCAGTCACTGAGAGTGAGTGGCTCTGAGTATAGATAGAAGCTGCGGAAGGGGCGGCCAGTGGACTTGGAGTGGTCTTGCTGGGAGCAGCCCCCTGGGGGTGTCTCCCATGGCACAGTCCCCTCCCTGTTCCCTGCATCCTGGGGCCTCGCTGCTGGGTCTCCTGGGCGCGTGGTGCCTTGGAGGGGAGGGGCGGAGGTGTCCCTGCCCTCCGGACACCCCAGTCCAGGACTGAGCATGGGGCCAGCGAGCTGGAGTGGTCGTGGGTGGGGCGGGCACTGGGAGGGTCACCTGGGGCCACCTGAGCTGCATTCTCACCGCACCCAAGGCCTGGCCCTGACCCACGTGCTGCGACAGAGCCTGAGGCCTGCAGCAGGTCCCCGTCCGGAGGCCGCCAAAGTCGTGATCCTAGTGACAGATGGCAAGTCCCAGGACGATGCCCATGCTGCTGGCCGTGTCCTCAAGGACCTGGATGTGGACGTCTTTGCTGTGGGTGAGCAGCCCCAGACCACCGCTGGGGGGCTCCCAGCACGGGGTGCAATTTGCACCCGGCTGTGTCCCAGGCCGGAGGTCTCACGGTGACTCTGAGCCTCAGCCCCGAGTCTGAAGACGGAGGACCAGTCTCTGCTCTGGGAGCTGGTGACGGTGCACAAGCGATGACCCAAGCACCCATGGGTGCTCGGAGGGTGTCCACACAAGTCGCTCCCTGGGGCATGGGCCAGTTTGCAGTGTCGTCTCTGGACACCTCCCTGCCCAGCTCCCCTTCCCCCAGGGCATAGCACGGCGTGTGAGGGGCCTTTGGGGGCCTGGCCCCTCCTTCCCCCCAGGGCCCAGGCAGCCGTTTCCCACGGGGTCCTGCCAGGTGACCCCATCCTGGGGCCTGTGGGGTCCAGGCTGTGTGGCTTGGGATAGACCCCCCCTACCCCGCTGGGTGACTCGGGCAAGGCCCAGTGGACCCATTGTAAGATGGAATAACAGCGCCAAGGCACCCCGTCACCCCTGCGCCCCATGGCAGGCGTGAAGAATGCTGACGAGGCCGAGCTGAGGCTCCTGGCGTCCCAGCCGCTGGACGTCACTGTCCACAGCGTGCCGGACTTCCCCCAGCTCGGCATGCTGGCAGGCCTGCTCAGCCGCCTCATCTGTCAGAAGGTCCAGGGCAGGAGCCAACGGAGGGGCCCAGGTGAGCGGGCGGTGGTGACGTAGGGTGGGGTCGACCATGCTCACGGCCCGCCAGGCCCTGTCTGGACGCTTTGGGCAGAGGGACAGGGATTTGCAGCTCCAAGGAGCTCCCTGAACCAGTCCCATGGCTCCGAGGGGTCCGCAGTCCCCACCGAGGAACACCTGTCCTTCCTGGATGTGGCCGCCAGGGGGAGCAGGCGGAGCTGCTAACGCCAGCTGCCAGCTGAGGCTGTGGGCCGTCCACCTTTCCTCCCTCAGTATCACCAGCAGCAGCCGCCCCGGCCCTGGACCCCCTCTCCGCTCCCACCAGCCTGGTCCTGACCCAGGTGACCTTCTCCAGTGTCCGCCTGTCCTGGACTCCAGCCCCTCAGCTGCCCCTCAAGTACCTGGTCACGTGGCGGCCTTCCAGGGGTGGTGCCCCCAGGGAGGTGAGAGGCGGCCCTCTGCCTGCCCCGTGCAAAGCCAGGGCTGGAGTAAAGGCCCACTGGTGATGGAGTCAGCGTGGGGAGAGAGCAGAGCGGGGTGACCCTGCCAGAGGCCCAAGTCCCAGGGCACACCCGGGTGGCCAAGGGGGCGGGATGCCGCTGGTGCGTGTGCTCGCGCCTTTGATGATTGCCGGTGGCTGGGAGCTGCTCTGCTTCCGGGGCCAGGGACAGGGCTGCGTGGGGAGCGAGGCCTGACCCCAGCCCTCCGGAGCTGATGCGTTTCCTGTGCCCCACCACGCCCACCCCGCCCGCTCCATCTGCCTGGCGCTCCAGGTGGTGGTGGAGGGGCCCAGCGCATCTGCGGAGCTGCACAATCTGACCTCCAGCACGGAGTACCTGGTGTCCGTGGCCCCCGTCTACGAGGCGGGGGTCGGAGAGGGCTTGCGGGGCCTGGTGACCACAGGTGGGTGGGGCAGCGGGCTGGGCTCAGGGCTGGGGGCGCCCCTGGGAGCCCGGCACCAGCCAGGGTGGTACGTCGGGCAGTTACAGGTCTTAACCCGGGTGGGGGCACCACCCCCAACTTGCTGTGAAACCGAGGCCGAATCACTGGACCTCTCTGACCCTCAGTGTCCCCTTCCGAACACAAGCGACATCACGTGTGTCACCCTACCACAACTAAGACCATTGCCGGCACTGCTCACACACTGCTGGAGCACCCCCCGCTGGGCCACAGCCCCGGGGACAGCTGCGAGCCCCACGACTCGCCATGTACAGCGTGCGGTTCTGTGGTTTTCAGCGTGATCACAGAGTTGTCACCTGTCACCACAGTCACCTTTAGGACATTTTCATCACCCTGAACAGAAGCCCTGCACCCCTTAGCTGTCACCCAACCCCCTGCCCCCAGCCTCCGCAACCCCTCATCTGCTCCTGTCTCCAGGGATGTGCGATTTCTGGACCTTTCCTGTAGATGGCGCCACATGGTCTGTGGCCTGTCATGTCCGGCTCCTTCATGGGGCCCTTCACCCACTGGAGGCCACAGCTTCTGACCCTTAAACTGAAAACTGCGGGCTGGCTGCGTTTCCTCAGAGCTAGGGGCCAGAAGCTTGGCCAGGGTGAAGTCTGGGGACAAATTTAGAATTGCGCGTGGGGTGTCCCCCAGGGGCTGTGGTGCTGCTTCTGTGTCCCCGGTGAAGATGCCTCTGTACTACAGTCTTTGCTGTGATTTCTGGTGTGTGTCTCTCTCTTCCAGGACCTCTGCCCCCACCCCAGGGGCTCACCCTCGCCACAGTGACGCCCAGAACCATCCGCCTCACCTGGCAGCCCTCAGCCGGGGCCACCCAGTACCTGGTGCGGTGCTCCCCTGCTTCCCCCAAGGGCGAGGAGGATGGCATGGAGGTGCGAGGTGGAAGTGTGGGGACAGCCGGGGCAGGCGGATGGGGGTGCGGGGGGCAGGCACTGACGTGCACCCCTGCAGGTGCGGGTGGGGCTCCCAGAGGTGCTGCTGGACGGCCTGGAGCCGGGCAGGGACTACAGCGTCTGGGTGCGGAGCCTGCGAGGGTCGGAGGCCAGTGAGGCCCGGGGCATCCGTGCGAAGACCCGTGAGTGTCCACCCCGCAGGCCGCCACCCACCAGGGGCGGAGCTGTCACTGCGGTCCCCAAGCCCTCCATGGGCAGAAGGCTCCAGACCCCGCCCAGTGGCCCCATCAGCCCGAGCTGCATGTTCGGGAAGGCGGGGCGGCTGGACCCTGAGGCCTTGCTGTGCTCCGCAGGCCCCCCGGGCCCCCCCAAACACCTGGGCTTCTCAGACGTGAGCCACGACTCAGCCCGCGTGTTCTGGGAGGGCACCCCGAGGCCTGTGCGCCCATGCAGGGTCAGCTACGTGTCCGGCGAGGGCGGCCACTCGGGGCAGGTGAGCGCAGGCCGGTGTCCAGGGGGCCTGGAGTGTCCACCTGGGTGCTGGTGCCCTGAGCCCCCTCCTAGCCCTGCGATCGCAGTCTGGGGTGGGGTGGGGGAAGCACCCCAGTCTGGCGGGAGTGGGAGGGGATGGATGTAAATGAGGGGCGCCCGAGTCGCTTTGCCGTGGATGGCAGATCGCCCTCTGAGACTGAGGGGTGCGGGGGCGAGGCCCCAGGAGACCCCGCCCCAGCGTGGTGGCCCACACCCCCCGTACACCCTGGGGGAGGTTGTGGCGGGCAGATCCTGGGCCCGGGTCCCCATCCGGGCAGGGGCTGCCCCCTCCCTGGCCTCGGGGTCGGCTCCAGGCCCTGTGTCCCGGCATTGCAGACGGAGGCTCCTGGGAACGCCACCTCGGCCATCCTGGGCCCCCTCGCCTCCTCCACCACGTACACCGTCCACGTCACCTGCCTCCACCCCGGGGGCCGCTCCTCCAGGATGACCGGCCGCCTGACCACACGTGAGTGGGCAGTGGTTGAAGTGGGGTCTCCAGGCTGCGCTGTGTCCCTCTGCTCCCATGGACGCTCCACGTCAACACACACTTAGGCGTCTACCCGGTGCATCCCTGAGCCAGGTGGGGACAGGTACTGGACAGGTGCGACGTGGGGCGCAAGGCCCACGTGGGTGTGACATGGGGGCCTCTGCTGTCAAGCAGGCAGGAGGCGGGGCCACCTCCAGGAAGCAGGTGCATCCTGGGAAAGGGGCACATGTGGGAACAGCTGCTGCATGGAGACGCGCTCCCTCTGCCCCCAGTGTGACCCACGCCAGCAAAGCCTCCTTAAGGGCACCCGGGGGGCACTCCTCAGAGTCCCGCCCCAGACCCAGCCACCCGAGCCTCAGTCTCCCTCTCCTGTCTTCCAGGGAAAGTCCCCAGCCCGAGCCAGCTGTCAGTGACAGAGCTCCCTGGGGACAAGGTCCGGCTGGAGTGGGCAGCGGCGGCGGCCTCTGGCGTGCTCGTCTACCAGATCAAGTGGCTGCCCCTTGGGGACGGGAAGGCCCATGAGGTGCTGGGTGGGGAGAGGACCCCCTTCCCACATCTAGTTCCTGGGGGCTCACGCCCTGCTGCTGCCTCGTAGGGACACCTGCCTGCCGGTGGCCTGCGAGCGCCTCCCGGCGCGTGCTCACCTGGGCCCCCTCTCCGCAGATCTCCGTGCCAGGGAACCTGGGCACGGCCGTCCTGCCTGGCCTGGGGAGGCACTCGGAGTACGAGATCACCATCCTGGCCTACTACGGGGACGGGGCCCGCAGCGAGCCCGTGTCCCTCCGCTACACCCCCCGTAGGTCACCCTCAGCTGCATGGGGCGGGGGCAGCCCAGAGGGACCCCGGGCCCCCCAGCTCCATGAGCCCAGGTCCCCGAACTCTCAGGCAATTCCCCAAGTCCCCAACCCTCTGGCCTGACCACTCGGTTCTTGGGGTCTCCCTGAACCCTCCAGGCAGGGGTTCCTGCGGTGGCCAAGGGTTCCAGCCACCTGGTGTGACGATGCTCAGGATGGTCTTGGGGAGGACTCTGTGTGAGGGCAGCAGGGTGGGATCGGGGCACGGGGCACGGCGGGGCGGAGTGGAGTGGGGACGTGGGGAGCATGTGGGCGTGGGGTCGAGGACGTGGGGGGCGTGTCGCTGTCCTCGGCCCCTCCTGTGAGCCCCTCGTGTCCCCGTGTCCTGGGGCTCTCACAGTTCGCTGGAGCCCGCCCTCCGGCCTAGCCCTGGATTCCGAGTCGCCCAACAGCCTGCGGGTCAGCTGGACACCTCCGAGTGGCCATGTCCTCTACTACCGGGTCACCTATGTGCTGGCCTCGGGCTCGGGACCCGAGAAATCGGTGGGTCTTAGTGGGGCAGGGAGCCACTGCTCCTCGTGGGCCCCTGGGTCCTGGTGGCAGTGGGGGACAAGGCCCACCCCGTTTGTTGAGGGTGCCAGCTCTTCCATGGGGGACGAGCTGAGGTGCCTAAGCGAGCAGAGGCACTCGGGAGGGTGGCTCAGGTGACTGTACCTCCCCAGGTCTCCATTCCGGGACCCAGGAGCCAGGCGACACTCCTCGACCTACTGGCAGCCACCAAGTACAGGGTCCTGGTCTCCGCAGTCTACGAGGCAGGGGAGAGTGTGGCGGTGTCGGCCACGGGCCGGACAGGTGAGTGAGCATGAGGCCCCAACCTCAGCCAGGCCCCCAGACGCCCGGGACCCAGGGGGTCCACCCGGCTGGGCCACTACTTGGTGGACAGCTGCCGGGCCCAGCGCCCTTCCCGTCGGGGGCTCTGGGTCCCAGGTCTACCTCCACTCGCACACGGGCGCCTCCGAGCGCCTGCCACGCGCCGGCGGGGGGACACGCCCGCACCGCCAGGCCCCGGTCTGTTCCGTGTTGCCCACGTGGGCATTTCCCTGGCCCTGCCGCTGGGCGCTCGGCAGGGGGGCCAGCACCTCTCAGGGCGCAGCACCCAGTGGCACCGTCTCCTAGAGACACCACTGCCGTCCCTCCCTGGCCCCTGAGGCGCGGGGCACACAGGACTGCGGACCTCCAAAGGGCGCGTCCAGCAAGGCTCCAGCCCGTCTTCAGACCGCAGGGTAGGACCGCTGCCCAGGAGGCCCTGCACCTGACCCCGACCCCCTGTCGCCTCTCAGCAGCCTGCCCGGCCCTCCACCCGAACAGCTCCGTCGCAGGTGGGTCCCTGTGTCCCCATCTCTGTGTCCCTGTCCCTGTGTCCCCGTCCGTGCCCCGAGGGACAGCTCTCTCCCTCCCCAACCCCACCCGTTCCTCCTCTGACCTCGTGGGGAAGGGAAGGGTGGCCTGGGGCCTGGGTCACGGGGACCGGACCTAGGCAGGCAGGGCCCACACCTTTGCAGAAGCGTCACTCAGGGCTGCCTGGTGCCTTTATTCATGGCTCACAGTCCGAGTTTCTGAGGCTCGTCCAAGGTCATGGCTGGGCCGTGGTGGAGCAGAGGTGAGCGGGGGCCTCCGCAAGCCGCCTCTGCCCAAGCGCTGGGCAGCCAGGGGTCCCCGGGTCGCTCAGCGTTCTCAGCGCTTTGCGAGTCTGAGGCTCTCCCCAGAGAGGGCTGGAATATGGGTCCTGTGCACCCCGGTCCCTGTGTCCCCATCCAGGCGGCCCCTAGCTTTCTCCCGCTCTCCGCCCCCACTCGACACCTGGCTCTCTCCCCCTTCGCCTGGGCCGTCCCTCCCTCACCGCCCCCCCACACCCTGTCTGTCCCGCCCAGGCTTTGACCTGATGGCGGCCTTTGGCCTGGCACAGAAGGAGTACGCCTCCATCCGCGGTGTCGCCATGGAGCCCTCAGCCTTGGGCCCGGCCATGACCTTCACACTCTTCAAGGACGCTCAGCTGACGCGCCGGGCCAGGTGGGAGGGCAGGGGGTGGGCCCGACAGGGGCGCCACACTGTAGTGACCCTGGCTGTGGTTGGGTGGCCTCGGAGCCCCACCTGCCTGTCCCCACCTGCCTGCGGGGAACACTGTCCATCACGGCCTGTCGTTGGTGAGGACAGGGCGGGAGGAGCCTCGGCCTGGCCCCGCTGGCCCCGGTCTGTGCTCGGGGGAGGGCCGTGCCCCTGTGGCCCGCCTCCCTCAGGCCGCGGTGGCCCCACCTGCCCCACAGCGACATCCACCTGGCCGCCCTCCCCACGGAGCACACGGTGGTCTTCCTCCTGCGCCTGCTCCCCGAGACGCCCCGCGAGGCCTTCGCGCTGTGGCAGATGACGGCCGAGGACTTCCAGCCCGTCCTGGGGGTCCTGCTGGACGGTCAGTTGGGAGCCCAGGCTGCCCCTCGAGGCCTCGCTGGCTGTGGGTGCTGAGCCTGCCGCCGCCCCACTCGGGCCTCACTCCGCCCTCCCTCGGCTCCCCCAGCCAGCAGGAGGTCGCTGACCTACTTCAGCCACCACCCTAGGGCGGCCTTGCAGGAGGTGACCTTTGACCTGCCCGAAGTGAGGAGGATATTCTACGGGAGCTTCCATAAGGTCCTAGAAGGTTCCAGAAAGACCCAGACCTGCGTCTCCCTCTGCCCAAGTCCCTGCCCTGCTCCCCAACTTCTGAACAGACCCCACGGTGCTGCAGGACTTGCCCGCCTGCCTCCCCACCGCAGGCGGCCCGTTGCCGTGGGTCCCACAGAATGCGAGGACTTTCCCTGAGTGTCCCCTGGCCTCCGCCCCTGAGGTCCCCTCTGCCCGGATGTCCCAGCTCAATCTGGGTTGGGAGCATTCAGCTCTGCTCTCTGGTCTCACCGTACTGGTGTCACATGGTTCACGTATGGGGGAAACTGAGGCCCAGAGGGGTTCCTACGGGGCTTGAGGTCAGGCCCGGGTGATGGACACATGTCCCCCACCGGGCCAGGGCTGGGGGGAACCTCCGCGGTGTCTCACAGGTGCATGTGGCCGTGGGCCACTCCAAGGTCCGGCTCTATGTGGACTGCCAGAAGGTGGCCGAGAGGCCCATCGGGGAGGCTGGCAGCCCCCCTGCCACTGGCTTCGTCACGCTGGGGAGGCTGGCCAAGGCCCGGGGCCCACGGAGCAGCTCGGCGGCGGTGAGCCTTGGCTTTGTCCCGCCTGGCCGCAGGGGGCCGTGGGACGCACGCCTGGCCCCCTTCAGGCCCTACGTGTCTGACCGCGCTCCCTCCATGCTCTGTAGCTGCAGCTGCAGATGCTGCAGATCGTCTGCAGCGACACCTGGGCGGAGGAGGACAGGTGCTGTGAGCTCCCTGCACTGGTAGGTGGGTCAGTGCCCACCCAGGGTCACACGGTCTGGGCTCGACGGGCCTTCCAGGTCGTGATGCTGGGAGATCAGGGCAGGCTTGAGGTGGCCTCTGGGAGCATCTCGGAAGCCTTGGGGACAAGGCAGGTTAGGGTGGCTGGGAAGACCCCAGCTGCAGAGAGGTCTACCTCCACTCGCACACGGGGGCCACTCCACTTCCTGTGAACCCCCCGTGTCCCCACGCTGGCTTGAACGTGCTGGGGCCTGTGCCTGTCCTCACCCTCCCCCAGCCTCCTAGGGTGGGGCTTGAAAGTTCCCTGGACCAAGGCGTCCATGGCCACCCTGAACTCCGGGGTCAGACAAGAGCCCAAGGAGGTCCCGCTTAACGAGAGGTGTCTCGTCCTTCCAGATGGACGGAGAGGCCTGCCCGACCCCGCCTTCCGCCTGCACCTGCCCCCCACAGGCCCCCGGGCCCCCGGGGCCCCAAGGCCCTCCGGTGAGTCCAGCAGCCCCTCCCTGGGGTGACCAGGGGCTCCTGGCCACATCTTGCTGCCACAGGCAGGTGAGGGCAGCCCCTCCCATGCCCCCTGGATGTGAGCAGGCCCGGCAGCTGTCCCCAGGACTGCCACACACCCGGCTTGCACTTCACGTGTGCCCTGTCCTCACTGCCTCGGACATCCCTCCCGGCGCCCACTCCCGCTCTGGCGCGGGGCCCAGCATGTCCATCTTCCCTGCTCTAGGCAGCCTCTCTGCCCCCACCAAGGGAGGCTCCAAGGGCCCGGGGACGAGGGTCCCTGAGCACTAGCTCAGAGCACAGACCTCACCGGGGAGAGGCCACCCGATCCTGGTCTGGTCTGCACCTCAGCCAGCGCTGTGGGAGGGGAGGGGAGCTGGGCTGCCCTCTCGGAAGCCCCCACCCCTTCTCCAGCTGCAGGCGGGGACTGGAGCCCAGGGCCGTGCTAAGGCAGGCCGGCCTCAGGTGGGCTGTGCTGGGCTCAGCCCTGCCTGTGCCCCCCGCAGGGCCTGCCAGGGAGAGGCGGCGCCCCAGGACAGCAGGGCTTCCCAGGGCCCAGGGTAAGTTGTGGGTGGCCCCCGGCACATTCCCCAGAGCCGGGGGAGTGAGATGCCTTCCCCGTGAGGGGCCAGCGCCCCGCCACCCACCTTGGGAGCCCTGAGTAACAGCCGCTCTGGGCAGCAGATGTGCCGAGTTCACGAAGGGTCTTTGAAAGCTTTTCTCCTGCAGTCACAGTTCAAATAGCGCTGTGCCTTCTGTCCCCTGGAGGCTCGAGAGACGGTCGGGCGATGTCGGGTCTGGTGTCCTGGCTTTCTCGTCCACCTGCTCTGTGCCAGGAGAAGTGGCCTGGGGCCCAGCTGCCCCTCCTGGGGTGGGCGGCGGGGTTGAAGACGCCTCTGCGGGCCCGGGTCTGGGCACCACAGGCTGACGGGACCAGGGGCAGGACCCGGAAGGGCTGCAGGAGCGGCCGGGGGCCTTCTTACCCCTCCCTTGCCTGTGTCTCCAGGGAGAGCCTGGGCCGCCCGGACAGATGGGACCCGAGGGCCCTGGAGGTCAGCAGGGGTCACCAGGGACCCAGGGCCGAACCGTCCAGGGACCCATGGTAAGTCTTGGCCCCGCCCCCCCAACCACCCCCGTCCTGCCCTTGGCCCCTCTCCGCCCGCCCTGCTGCCCTGTCTACACTTCCGCTCCAGGGTCCGCCAGGGGTCAAAGGACAGAAGGGGGACCATGGACTCCCAGGCCTGCAGGTAGCGGGGTCCGACCACGCCCAGGCACGGGGCGGGGGCCTTGGGGCAGGGCCTCCCGCTCCAGGTCAGGCTCGGCCCCACCTGGCCAGCGCCTCTGTTCTCTTCCAGGGCACCCCTGGGAGGGTCGGCCTCCAGGGACCAAAGGTGAAAGGGCACCCCACGGGAGAGGGTCTTGGGACGGAAGGTGGGGGTGGGCTTCCTTCCTCTGCCCCCACGCCGCTCCAGCCCCCGCTGCCCCACCTGTGGCCCGGCTGGGGGGATGGGGTGTCGGCTCGCACCTGGCGGGTCAGGCCCTGAGCTTGGTCGGCGTCATCTGCTCTCGGAGCGAGGCACAGGCGGTACCCCTCACAGGTGTGGACCACTGAGGGAGGGGCGTGTAGGGGTGCGGACGCCGACCCCAGCGTGCCCTTCCTCTGTCCTCAGGGAATGAGAGGCCTGGAGGGTGCTGCTGGCTTACCCGGACCCCCGGGCCCCAGGGTAGGCACCCCCCGCACCCCCCACCCTCCTGGGGGCTGAACGGAGCGCAGCCACCCCCACGAGGTGACCTGGGAGGCGGTGCTCTCGTGGGCTGGCACTGTCCCAGGCCCTGCGGGCCTTCGAGTGCCCTGTGCCCGGGACTCTCTCACCCCCACCGGGCAGGGGGGGTGGGGAGCGGCGTTTGCGTACCCAGATGCCACACGGCCTGGCTGTGGCACCCAGCCTCTCTGTCCTCTGCCAGACACCACCTCAGCCGGAGGGCCGGGGACACCCCGCTAAGAAGCACTTTCTGTGGGAGAGGGTGGGAGGCACAGCCTGGGGGCAGCCGGCTGGGGACAAACCACAGTCTGGATTGGTCCAGCACAGTGGGGACCGGGACAGCCAGGGCCGGAGAGCGGCGGGGCCGGGCTCATAGGTCTGCCCCCGAGCCCCCACTTCTGCGTCTTGGCAGGGCTTCCAGGGCGTGGCAGGGGCCAGGGGCACTGGCGGGGAGCGAGGACCCGCAGGGGCTGTGGGGCCCACGGTGAGTCCCCTCCCCATCCAGACAGCCCAGCAGACAGCAGGGAGGGGTGGGGGGTGACAAATGTGCGCAAACTCACCCTCGATGACGCCAGAGCGGCTGGCTTGGAGCAGAAGAGCCAGGGCTGCCCCCTGCCAGGCCCACGGCGGGGTGTGGGCGGGGGTACAGGTAATAGGGCTGAGGACTGGGTTGGGGGGGTTCCGGCAGGTTCCGGGGGCCAGGGAGATGGAGGCAGGGGGGACGCGGATCTGGGACACACTCTGTGCTGGCCAAGCTGGCTCAGGCTGGGGGAGGGTCTGTTCTCCCTGGGGTGGTGTCCCCCATCTGAGGGGCCGGTCCTTTTCCCACTGGGGACTCCTACCCCAACTCTTCCAGGATCAGGAATTCTGCCTGCCTCATGGGGTCCCCCGCCGCCAGATGGATGGCCCCAGGCGGGGGGGCAGGGCAGGGGAGCAGGGCGGGGGAGCAGGGC